TATAACTAATACAAAATACTTCTCTAATCCTAAAATCTAATAATTATCAAAACCCCAAGTCTACATGGCATTTTACAATCCCAAGCAAAAAAAGAAAAACAAAAGCAATTTCGAAACAGAAGCAAGGCTAATCCGCCCCTTTTTAAATTTCAATACATTATGTCACCATCTTTGTCGCCATCATTAATGTCCAATCCTAAATATCTGTGTGTTTTTGTCATCTATGTGCATATAAAAATCTCACTAGTATATCATATATCATCATCCCTTCCCAAAGATAATAGAAGGCACTTTCATATCACTCATATTTCCCAACATTCCCTTATATAGTCCTAGTAACTTCCCCATTCAGTCCTAATCAACAAGAAACTCCTCTAATAACTATCAAGAGTCACAACCTATATTCATTTTTACTACTATTAAGCAACAGTAATCTTAATAACATCGTCATACAGTTCTGGTCCCAAAAAATTACCATTAATCTATCAGCCTATGTTTTAACCATAATCAAACAGATTTACTTTATACGCTTTCTGTTTACTTTTAAGAGGTTCATTCTTTAATCCTAACAGATAGTATTTCACATATTGAGACTTTATTATTTTCGCCTTGTCTTCTTCTTTCAGGAGCAACTTCAATACATTCGCTTTATCTTTTAGTAGTTTAAGACCTTCTTTTTGTAGATCCAAAATAGTGTTACCATTAGACTGATCCAAGTTCTGTTTACTTTTAGAGAGTTCAATCTTTAAACCTAGCAAACAGTTGAATCTTTATTATTTTCTCCTTGTCTTCTTCTTTCAGGAACCATTTCAATAAGTTCTCTTTGTTCCTCAGTGATTTAAAATATACTTTTTGTAAATCCAAAACAACATCATCATTAGGCTGATCCAGAATAATTGTAAGTCCAAAATAAGATTCTTTTTCTTTAAGATCCAGTAAGGTATCTCTCTCTCTCTCTTCTTCCATATCTTTATTATCCATATTATTCTCCAAAATATCCAGCTGTGTTCAACTTGCCTCACATCAGTAGCAGGCTCATTTAATTTAGCATCGGGTTTCTTGTTCAAATTATCAAATTTATCCTCCAGTGACTGAATTATTCTTTCTGCAAAGTTTTGAAACATAATCTTGAAACACTCATCCCTGCAGTTTGCTCTCTTTAGCCATGGTCAATAGCCTTCTCTAGTGTCAAAAATATAATTTACATTCTATCCAAAGTAAATAGTGAAAAGGAGAATGTCTCTTTATCTTGTTTAAAATTCCTCTCCAATCAGGGCCAATTAAGTAAGAAAACAAAGCAGAGTTCACACAGTCCCCATATCCACATTCCAATATCAAAAACCCAAACTCAGATTCAAATAATAATAATAATAATAACAATAACAACAATTCCTTTTCTCGTTTCTTAAAAATTAATAAAAAGTCCAAGCCTTTGTCTTTTTTGCTGAATATACAAAACTATTTATCCTAATAAAAAAAAGAATGTAAATCTTTCTACAAAGCACCTATAGTAGCCAAAAGGAAAAAATGCACTGTAACTAAAGAAAGCCTCTCTTTAACCCTTTAACCCTATAGAAGTAAAAACAAACAAACAAAGGTGATTTTGGAAATGAGAAGGTCAGCGCAATCCGGTTTTTTTTCCGGCTTCTTCGCAGCTTGGAACTTGCTGGTAACCCCGCTTCCCAGCTGATCACTCACCAGTCAATCCTGAAAGTCTCTGTTTCAAGGTCTTCTGGCTGTGAAAGGCTGTCCAGAGGTCGTATGGGACAATTTCTAGGATTCTCCTTAGATCTGGAGAATTCTTCAGGCTTCAGGAGCCTGCCTGAGCCTAAGAAAGTCTGAGACGATGACTCTCCACTTGAAAAGGACAGCCTAGAGTGCAGCCATTACTCACCGGAAGTCCATATATATACATACATACATACATACATACATATATGTAAAAAATAAAAAAAATAGTGATATGACTATCATTTTTTTTTTAATCCAGTGTATTTTGTATAAATGAGTCCCATATTTCATTATACTTGTTCATACAAAGTACACATCTATAGGGAATCCTACAGACTGTCTTTGACTTTAGGAAACTATCTTTGACTTTAGGAAAAACATTTTTTTAAAAAAATCAGGACACTGCTTTTTGAAGGGATTTCTTTCATCAACAAGACTGAAAGATAAGAAAGGTCATTAGGTAAATTGAGTGAAATTCTTAAGTTATATGTTATTACCAAAACTGGACTGAAAAAATGCTGTGCATTTTAATGCTCCAATTTAATAATTTTATGGATATAAAAAATGATCTATTGCAATATAATTATCATTATTTATTTTAAATCAGTAATCTGGATCTAAGCTTACATATCCTAAGAATGATCAATGATACTTTGCTGTAATTTAGAATGTATGATCAAACATGCATCAGCATTAACCTGCTGAATTGAAGCCAATTGTTGTTACTGATTTGTAAAGTATAGTAGCCACCAAACAAGAGGGCCAGATGTGCTATCACAAGCAAGGATTGTATTGATTACTATCTGTAATTATTAATAAACATCTATTAATCAGATCAAATTCTCATCAGCTTCATCAAATCTTTATTAATTAAGTATTCTTCTGGGTTTCATTTTAAAAAGAATAATGTGTATTTTGCTAGACCAAGAAAATAACTCCTGTATGGATAATCACAACTACAATGAATATAGCAAATACTGATGCATTTGAATCCTATTTACTTTATGCAGTAGGCAATGAAATCATCTTAGATAAATTCTCAGTTAAGTTCAACCTGTCCTTTATTATTGTTTTTCCTTACCTATTCCTATTATTTTTGCTCTTTTCTAACTGATGTGCTTTGAAATTTGAATTTTTCTATTCACTGAAAAATGAAAATGTGGTGCATGGAAATCCAGGATGGTTCATGCAGAGCTGAGGAAACACCCTCCTTGACACTCAAATCACTGTAGTCAAAACAACTATGAACAACTCTGGAAAAAATGGATTGTCTGGAATCTTTTCAGCCACGGGACAAAAACAGTCATTCTCACTGATGACCTATGTGGAGTCTTAGATGGGGGGAGCATAGACTTACTAGTCCTGCTAGAACTTTTGGAGACCTTCAATACTATTGAGCCTAGTAGCCTTCTAGACACCAAAGAAGGTTGGGAATTGGTGGCACTGTTCTTTGGTGGTTTGGTTCTTTCCTAAATGAGTGGTCCTAATCATTATGCTTGGGGGAGAAGAAGTTGAGCCCTCAGGCACTCCACTTAAGAAATAGATTTCCCCCCCATATCACTCAACATCTACATGAAGCTACTAGGGGAGGTCATCTGATGGTTTGTGGTTCAGTTATGCATCTCTGCACTTGACTGTATGAGAGATACAGTGAAAGTCTTGTCTCAGTGCCTGGAGGTTGTGAGGATATGGATGGGAAAAAAACAGAAAGATGAAGTGGCTGATTCTGCAACAATATCAATTATAGCTTTGAACTCCCCCAGAAGGAGCTGCTGCGTAATCTGGCAATAATCCTGGACTATCAGCTTCTGCTGGAAGAAGAGGTGGAAGCTGTGGCCAGGAAGTCATCTGCCCAGCTTCAGCTGGTGAGCCAGGTGTGGTCATTCCTGCAGTAGAAGTTGCTGGGTACAGTCACCCATGCCCTTGTCACCTTTTTGGTAACCTAATGTAATGCAGTCTACATTGGTCTGAATGTTTTCCATCTGAGTGGAATGAGGCCGTAGTTATCCCTCTCTATAAGAATACAGAAAATGGACTTAACCCTAACAACTATAAACCAATTAGCTTGATTAATACAATAATCAAACAATATGTAAAGTATCTTTATTTAAAACTGTTGGATTGGGTCCAAGGTGAAAATATTCTTGTTGAGGAACAGGTGGGATTTAGAGGGGACTGTTCAACCTTAGGCCACTATCTGGGCTTGCACCATTCAGCTGAAAAATATACAGTACTTCACTGCCCAAAGGCACCTTTTTTGCACCTTTGTGGATTTCAAATAAGTTTTGATCTGATTCCAAGAGAGATGCTATGGCAAAAACTTCAGGAATCCTCAATGGTTAAAAGACAGCTCCTTCTTATCCAGACTTTTTATTCTAACATCTCATTGAGAGTCAGATTTTCCCTTGGAGAAACCTTTCTGGAGCAGTTTCCACAAGGGTGTATTCTAGCTCCCTTTTTAATTTGTATATCAATTCAATAATTCAGGCTCTCTCATCTTCTAATCATCACTCTCCAATGTTAGCAGATCGTGCAATTCCAGCCTTTCTATATGGAGATGATGTAGTAATTTTGTCTGTCTCCCAGGTGGGAATGAGAAGGGCACTAAGGTCATTGGCTTCCTTTTGTCTAAAAGAACAACCTGTAGTAAACTATCAAAAAGCTAAAGTGCTAGTGTTAGCATGACACAACAGTAGGTTACATAAATGGCAAATTAATGGGACCCCAATAGAGCAAGTACCTACTTATAAATATCTTGGGGTGCAGTTCCAGGCTACCTACTTTTGGAGCGCACATTTCTCTTATCGAGCAAATGTGGCCCAACATAGCTCTATAGCTGTCTTAAGATTCTTCTATTCTAAGGGGGCACATTTTATTCCTGCAGCTTACAAGGTTTTTCTTGCTAAGGTCATCTCTCTGCTTCTTTACAGTGTTCCAATTTGCATTTTTACAAAGTTTAATGTCCTGGAAGCTGTCCAGTCCAAATTTATAAGAGCAATACTTGCAGTTCCAAGATGCATCAAGAATGCTATTTTAAGGTTAGAGACAAGTTTGGTTTCTGTGAGTGCCACAGCCTGGTTATATCTCCTTAATTTTTGGTTGAAATTTCCATCTGGAGATGGCTCTGTGGAATCCCTAAGCCATATGCTCCTTTGTTGCTCTCTCTATAGGGAATCAAGGAAGATATATATTTATTCCATTTTAAAGTACTACCCTGGTAGAGAGCACAATATCTATCTGTCATGGCTTCTATCTGACCAGGACCCTGATATATCTTCCCAAGTTGCCCAATTTTGTGCTATCATTTGTTGTAGCCATCCTACGGCTGAAGTTTAGCACAAATTTTGGTGATTGCCACTGCTATTTGTACTACAGTTACTATAATAATGTATTTTATGTAATTTTATTGCAACCAGGGTGTCATATGTCATCAAACAAACAAAAAAATTCCTATGTTCGTTCAATCTCACCACACCAATTTTGTGCTATCATTTGTTGTAGCCATCCTACGGCTGAAGTTTAGCACAAATTTTGGTGATTGCCACTGCTATTTGTACTACAGTTACTATAATAATGTATTTTATGTAATTTTATTGCATTTTAAAAAGTTTTACAATAATTACAATTCTATGTATTTTTTTTGTTGTGCTTTCTGGTCCAAAAGCTATAATAAAGGTTTGACTTGATTTGACTGTGTAGCAAGCTTTTAAAAATATGACTTTTTCAACATTTATTTAAGGAATGTGGTGAGATTGAACGAACATAGGAATTTTTTTGTTTGTTTGATGACATATGACACCCTGGTTTTATCACTACAGTATTATTATTATTATTATTATTATTATTATTATTATTATTATTTGTATTTATCATTTTGCTATAGTTAATTATTGCTTTCTTGTATATGTGTGAATGTCACTCATAAGATGCTTACAGTCAGGCAACTGTAGCATTTGAAATAAATATTCATTTTCAATATAACAAAACTAATATAGATGAACAGATGGGGTTTTGTTTGGATCATATTTTTAAGTAAATTACTTTCTGAGGCCAATATATGATTCAAAATGCAGCTAATCTTCATGTAGCTTTCTAAATTTTGTAATATGGCATTTGATTCTAAAACTTCATATCCAAAATTATACATAATGGGGAAAATACATAAAAAATTATCTTGTTCAGAAATATGAATATTTGTTGTTTACAAAAATGCATACAATTAATCTATATACTATATGTGTTTTAACTTTGCATGCTGATGGATTTATGATTGAAAACAACTGAACAATGTACACTGATTCACCCCCCCAAATTAATTTCTTCTTTTTGTAAGTACATATGTTGTGATTTGCAATTACATTCTTAAAGTAACCTTTATACATTTATTGTTTTTAGTTTTTCAGCTCTTTTTCTATAAAATTAAAATAATTGAGATTACTTTTTATAATGAGATACATACTTGTTTAATTTTCTAAATAAATAAATATTAATAATGTGTTACCATATACTCACTTGGGAAAAGCAACAGAAACATAAAATTAATCATGCTGATAATCCTTATCTTCATAATCTAACTAAGAACAAGAATTGCTAGAAATGTTTAGATTCAATGCAAAATTAGTTAACCAGGACTATATCTAAAATGCAATGATCATAACACTATAAAAAGTTTAATTTCACAATGAATTAATGGCAGTGTACTTACTTTCGTCTTTCCGCTTCAAATTTATTCAATAATTTCTGAAGACCACCATTTTTAAACCCCTGAAAATGTGCTGCAGGAGCGCCTACAGTGATGACATCATAAAGAACATCTGCAACAGAAAGATTACATACTAAATTGTACATATAAGGATGCACTATATTCTCTTACAGGGATAATAAGTAGTAAGTAAACATACGTCATTTTAGAACATGCTAGAAATTAAAAGTAAGTCTTAAACCTATGGTTCCTAATGTATTCCTGGATATGTGCCCTAAATAACATAAATACTCTCCTCAAATGAATTTCACCAACCATTAATTCCTATTCACCTGAAAATGACCAGGTTCACCACTCCACGGTTCTTCATTTTGGGAGCAGCTATCAAGCTATCACTTCTGAAAGCCTATTTTATTGTCTCATCTACTATAGCTCAATGGCTTCTTTTAGCCAGAATAAGTCAAAGAAAAAAACCACCAGTTGTTAAGCTAAGCCACGAGCTCATTATACTATATTGTCCAAACCGATCTAGAAGATTGATGACATATTCCTGCGAGTGGGAAGAAACACACAGTCAATCATACTTCCTTTATGTTATTCTGATCATGCTTTGTTGGTAAGAAAATGTTTAGCAACTGATATGATACCATTATTGGATAAGCCTCTTACCAGTTTTAGAAATTCTATGAGGGAAAAAAAAATACTTCCAAATGATACTACATTGATGACAACAGAAAATACAACTTTTTCAAACAGAGTTATTGGGTCCTTTCATTTTAGTGCCTTTTTATTTAGGTTTCTATATTACATTATTATTCCTAATGGTTTTGGGATTTGTTTTGCTTTTTTGCTCAATCTTTGTTTTGCATATAAAATTACAAAACAAAGATTGTATTAATATTGCATTAATATTCATGCAGTTGATTTAATAGACTTCAGTTTAGTGAATTTTGGAGGCAGTGAACAAAAACTATTCATAATTCTGTGTGTGTGTTAACATCATTTTACGCATGCATAAATTCCCACTTGCCATTTAATAGATATTTGGGTGCAGTGGACATCCCTTCCTCCCAGTAGTCCTTTAAATCAAGGACTTATTACAAGAATTGTAGTTATTAGATTCTACAAAAATACTTCAAGTAAATAAATAAATAAATAAAATACAAATACAAATGGAAATAATGAAATGCTTCAAGGTTATAAAAAGATAACAGTACACCTTTGATAGGATATAATTATTTATATCACTGGAACGTAGAATTATATATTACAGGAACCATAGTTTGAACATTTCTGTAGTAACTTTAAGACACAAGAAAGGTAGCAGTTATATCACACCCAGGTATTGTGCCTCTAATAGGAAACATGTCTATTTATACTTCAGACTCTCCAGTCTAATTCTTTGTAAGAAAATTTCCAGTAAAGTAAACAGTGGAACAAAAAAATACATCTATATACAACTCAGTGAATTGTGTATAACTGCAGCCTCCTCAAGTATGACATGCAAGCTGCATTACATCATAAGATGTTCATTACAGTCAATTAGATCAGCACTGAAAACTCAAGGATAAGACATAAAGCAAATAAAATGAAGATTTCACAATGCATGTTTGGTACACAAACATCTTGACATCCTAGCAAGATTCTACTACAACTGACTTGTCTCAATGTCCACTAAACAAATTAATTTTAATCACCTTCTGTTCAGTAGTACAGACAATGGCACGAATCTTGGACACTTGATTAAAAATGGCTAGAGGTGGCCAGTGTAAAGCATCTGCTATTGCCCCATATATAATTATATTTGGGTACTGAATTTATAGTCTTTGGATGTCTGATGGGTCTTTTAACATTGTCAAAGCCCAGAGGCATTAGGAATTTGTGGGAGAATCCATTAACCTGCAGCTTTTTTACCAGATAAATAACTCATATTGATAATTTATTTACAGTAATTTACTTCAGCTTTTTTCCCCCTTACCTTTTATTCTTCCTTATATGAGTTTGTAGTTTACTTTTGGTTTTTGGCCATAAATAAAGATAACACAATATTAAGATCCCTTTCCACTGTTTGTTTTTGTTATTTAATTTATTAAATGTACATGCTAATAAATCATTCCAACTCTTGATGGCTTACAACAAAATAAAATACAATAAAAACATCTACTGTAAGAAAAGCAACACACAAATATAATAAAACCTCCATGAGGTAGATATTATAAATCCTCTAGTTGGATTTATAATTACTCTCCAAAATTAAAAATACTAATTTCAACCAAACTTTTAAGTTCAACAAACTTAAAAATATATATCCAAATCAGGCTTCAGCTGAAACTAATTCCACCACTAAATCAAGGGTATACTTGGCATCCATCTGGGAAAAGCATAAAGATACATCAATATAAACAAAATATGAAAGATGCAAGTATCTTCTAGGACAATTGTGAGAAAAAGACAGATTTAATAGTCATTTGTTTTTCAACAAGGAACACAAATTTAAATACAGCTCTGTGCATTTCAATAGCAGAAACACCCAAATCTAAAAGTGCAGCTAACAGAGAAGAAAGGAGAAGATATTTCATGATTGGACTTAAATAAAATTACCGGGCAGTGAACTGTGTACTTCATATAGCCTACCTTTTAAACAAGGGCTGTGCACATGCATTCTCTGCAGATGTAGATTTATTGGAACAAATTCTAGTGTTTTCTCTCCTTTACTGCAACTTGATTTGAAAGAAGAGCCTGAAAAAAATTATATAGTATAATGTATAAAATAATATATAACTGAGGATACAGATCTTTTGTCTTTCCTAAAATCCAAGATGATACTTCTGTGTCAGTAATACTTTAAACTATTGAGTGTCAAGAAACTTTGTGCGGCAGCTTCAGATGGCACCCATGCAATCCCAGGAAAAGTTGCAGCTGCTTTAAAGAATTGCTAACAAGTCTGAGAGCCCCATGCTCTACATCACATTTTTCTCTCTGAATCTGAATATTGCTCTATTTTCAATTTGTAAGAATTCACATGATAGGAGTCCTATTTTATTGTCCAAAGCTACAGTATCTACAGAGATATGATTGTAAGGGAGAAATTACAGAAATATGAGTGCAATTTCTTAGTATCACTAAATTCAAGACTATCTGCATTGTTGTAACCAAAGGATTGTCTTCTTGTAATTGGCATACCAATAAAACACAGAGGACTAACGCCCACTTTAGTTAATATCAATGAATCAAATATTTATTATGACCACAGACCAGCATATTTAATTAATATATGGATTTGTTGACAACAGTGATGCATTTATTATATATATTTACTAAAAATAAAGAACCTTGTGGTATCTTAAAGACTATTTTAAGTATTATCTGATGTACACTCTCATTTATGGGTGGAGGTGTCTGTAAATGGTAAGGTAAGAAGTAAATAAAATGATGGAACAATAATTTTTATAGCAAAAAATGAACACATATTCTCACCTAGAAATGGATGCATCTAAACAACCACTGCAGCAGCCATATAAGAAAACCTGTAGCATTCGATACTGTAATTATTTTTTTCATAACTTTAAGAGAAAAGGAGAGGGTCATATGTGCTCATGGTTTGTGCTTGATCTCTCTAGGAAAGTGTGATAGTCAGTAACAAATAAGTTGTATGAAACATAGTTCTGTAAAATAAAAACCCACAAAATCATAACTTTAATTTTTAAGCATTTTCTGACCTGTATATTTTCCAAGTTCTGCAAGCATATTTTGGTACAGGGTCAACATTTGATCACAGTGTGCAATAACATTTTTACGCATATTGTCCCAATGTGGAGCGAGTTCCCCAAGTTCTTTAAGGTCCTGATTCCTATAGCAAAATAATCATAATCATAATAATCTTTTTTATCAATCCAATGCTACAAAGATGTTAGTACAAATGAAGTGGTTAACAGTTATAGTTCAACAGCTAGTTTTACCATTCTTATTTATATATAACATTATCCTGGGCCTAATCATTAAAGCACTTTTTTGCATAGAAATAGATCCAGTTTTAATTGAAGGTGTCCTTCAATAGGGTAAGGAGAGCCTGGAGGAAATGCTAGAATCCATGCTGCTGCAGAACAGTCTTCCTTAAACTGGCATGTGTCTTGGAACTATTAGAATTCAGTTGTGTTGAATAAGAATTCTGAGAATGATAATCCCCAAATATCTACATTCTAGAAGGCTGATAGACTGACTTAGACACACAAAAGTTACTCTGTTATTTCTATGTTTTACAGTGGAAAAAAAATGGAAGTAAGTCTTGAATCAGTATCTTCAAGACCCATGTCCTATCTCCTTCCATTTATATTACTGTTTGATGAGGTGTTATCTTTTGAATCTACACCTTATCAATGTTTATAAATTATACTAATGTCCTCCAGCTTTCATGTGAAAATAAGATGGTTTCTATCCACATCTAATTGTTTAATACTGAAAAATATGCTATGGAATCTAGGAACAACAGAACTACCAACATCACTTAAAAAAAACCCCAAAACTCTATTTAACAAATAATGAATTCCCAGATTAAAACAGTTTGACTTGGATGATGAGAATGGCATATTCAAATTTTCAATTTAAAAAAAAAATTAACAAACCACTTTAAGTAAATCTTACTTTCACTTTAAATATATAATACCAGGATATATCTGTCTGGGTTAATCATCTTGGCAAATGTACCTGCTGAGTGAAAATGTCAGGCTAATAAAAAACAGTCACTTCATGGAGTTACAAAAGGAAATCCTTTAGCAAATTGCCAGCTTCCTATTAACTCTGGAGACTGACATAATTGAAACATTCATATCAGTATTAAATGAAAACACATGGCAAACTTTTACTGTTACAACTACAACAGCTTGGTTGCATTACAGAATACAGAAAACTCCAGAGGTTCCTGTTGTGCTGGGTGAAATTTGGTTTTTACATCTGTTGATTCAGGCTAAATTCCTGAAGCTACATACTTCTCTGAGTTTCTTCTTGATTGTTAGATATTAGGGTTGGTGAAAGCTTGCTGAAGAAGACAATATAAGTGGCTATTGCTAATTCTAGTAAATGTTTGAGATTGTTAGTAATTTCAAATACTTACCAAATAAACACAGAAAAACATACCACTTCAAGGTCGTAGCTGAAAAAAATAACCTTACTTAGCCCTCTCATTCTAGGTTATTATAGACTTAATTGTTTAAGCAATGTGTTCATGTAGGACAGGAAATCAACTTCACATAAAAATGATGATTCATGTGCTGATATTATGATGCAAATTCCTCCTTTATGTAGCCGTGTCCCAATGGCTGTTGCAAGTTATGGTATTTGCATATGACATCATGGTTCACTTTTTGTCATTTGCTCCATCTTTTCCTACCTGCTGGCACCTATAATTTATTAGTTTGAAGTAGAGATGTATTATCTAAATCTAGTTCAAATTGGATTTCACATGAAGATGCAGGCAGTTTTATTGCTTCAATAGAGGATATGTACCAGAAAGGAAAAAAGTATGATACTATCAACTGTGCTATCAACTTTTAGACTGCCTGCATCTACTAGGGGGATACTGTCTCATAGAAGGATACTAAAGTTCTTTCTCTATGAAGTTAAAAATTGTACAATGGTTTTTTGTTGATTTGTAATATCAGTATAATAAAGAGCTAAGTTAAGAAAAAGAAACACATTAAAATGTAAACTTCCTTCTAATGGCTTAATACATTTTCTTCTTTGTATGAATAAACCTACAACAAGATTAATGGTCTGATTATTATCAGAAAATCCTACTCAGAAGCTTAACTCATAACATACAAAATATGAACATATGAAAGCTGGCTGGCTAGAATAATGTAATTAAACTGCTTGAAAACTTCTATTATGTTCCTCTGCTCAACACTAATTCAGAAAAGTACTTCGAGTATTTGGCAGTATAACAGTTTCAGATTCTGGACTGGCCACACCCAATCCAGGCAGGCCACTGGACTCTCCAGGGCAGGAAAAGCTACAAAAGATTTTCTGCGTAAGCTGCAACTTGCTTCAGCTGTAATGCCTGTGTTGGTCCCTTAGCAATAGTTTGATTCTTTTACATTATTTCCAGTTTACCTCCATAGGAGCTGAGTGGACTGGAATTCTAAATTTCTATAAGTGAGTTCAAGCATTTTAGTTGATTACTATAATCAATATTTTAGTCAATTACCACCAGCAATTTTCTAAAAACCATTCTAACAGCACATTTTTTAACATTTTTCGTTTCACCTACCTTCTCAGATCCTCCTTTATGTGTAGGCTGATGAGTTCCTTGGGAACATGAAAAGAAAGATTGCTCTCAAACATCTGTTCTCGTATACACATCCACTTGTTGTCAGAAGTGGGGAATCTATATAATTTACAGATTGGGTTTTTTAACACTGTAAAAGAGAAAACATTATGGAATTGCTTAACTACAGCTGTAACCTTTTCCAAAGATTATTACAGTGGATATATTACCCAGGTAAGTGAAAGTTGTACTTTGGAGAAGCAGGATAGGAAACATATTAACACTTTTGAATTCTGGTGTTGGAGAAGATTTCTGAGGGCAGCATAGACAGCCAAGAAAAGAAACAAAGTGATCATCAAACAAATCAACCCAGAGTTCTCACTGAAGACATAAATGAGCAGGCTCAAATATTAGGATGGTGTGCTGGGTGTGGGTGAGTGGGTGGAAGAGGGTTCCACTAATAATTCTCTCAATTTTCTTGTTAGTATCTGGAATAGGGAGCTTGCCAGGGTGGTTGACACAATTGTTCCTAACTACTTTTCCAATCTGCTTCAGAAATTATCCTGTGGCACATAGAAGAACTGTGGGAATTGAAGCGCAAGATAGATGAGTAGAGTGTGGGTGGAGAAAGACTTCACTTTAATCTGACATGGCACAACATAATCCCCCATGGAAGGTCTACGTAATGACAATGTGCAGGAAAGAAGCAGTTTTTTTCCTGCACATATTTGTATCACAATGTCATGGGCTGCTGAGTTGTTTCAGACTGTAAGAGGGCTGACTTGAACCACACCTCCTCCTTGTAGAGTTCTGATACTGAACTTTATGGGGTTCACTACAATACTTTCAGTGATTTTTAAGAGAGAAACAGTCTCATATTCAGGTTAGTCTGGATGCCATCTTTGATATAGGGTGAGCTATAGAGATGTATAGTTATTCCTCTTCTACAGATAGATTGGATCAATTTCAATTTTTGATACCGGAGGATCTGGACAGCCTGTTGAAGTGGTACATTACCCACTTGTTCTCTGGATCCTTACCAACTTGGCTTGCCACTTTTAGCTGAAAATTTATTAGATTTAATTAACATTATAAATAGAATAATAGAATCACAGGTTGGAAGGGATCTTCTAGTCTAACCCCCTGCCCAGTGCAGAAATCCTCATACCATTCTGGATAAATGGCTGTCTAGTCTTTTCTTGAAAACCTCCAGTGACAGAGCACCCATGGCTTCAGGAGGCAGACTGTTCTATTGCTTAATAACTCTCACAGTCAGGAAATTCCTCCTCTGCTGAAGTTTGGATCTCTCACTGTAAAGCTTCTACCCACTGGTTTTTGTCTTAGAAAAGTGGGCTATCGGGTTGAAATTATCTTAGTAAGCTTAATGAATGACCTTTGTTTGGAGATCAGCAGAGAGAATGTACTCTGATTATCCTCTCTGACTTCTCAGTAGCTTTCAATCAATCATGTTATCCTCCTGAATTGTCTGAGAATTGGAAATTGAAGACAAAGGTATGGTGTGGTTCCGTTCCTATCTCTCAGGTAGATTACTGAACTAAGTGGTATTTCCTATTAATTTTTTCCTAAAATGATAGAAATTTAATCTAATCTAATTCTTTATACAATGTACACATTTTCAAAATCTGGAAAAAAAAAATCAATTGTTTAAATTATTTTAAAGCTGCTTTGGACTTTTTTAAAAAACTGAACTAAGTTCTAGGGGCCACTCAGTAACTCTTTCTTTAGCTTTACTTTTTAAAAGAGTTACATATATGGATTCAATGATATATATTATTACCAATTATTGAAAGATTTCATTTTATACTTCTAATATCTGCTCATATATCCATGAAGAATATGCAAAAAAAGCTTATAGTGATTTGTATAAACTAGCCTTTCCCAATCAGTGCCTTCAGATGTGTTCAACTTTGTTATTATGCTGTCTGGGGGATTATGGAAGATAAAATCTAAAATTAAATATTAAGTTACATTATACTTCAGAGGAAACCTCTGAACAAAGATAATTAAAATTTCCTCTGCATTAGTGGTTTTAATAACATATCTCATAAAGAGAACTTGCTAGTAAAGAGCAGAAAAGAAACTTAATTTTTGGAAAGTCAAAATATTAAAAGAAGTCCCTTATTTTCTTTACAGGGTCATTATCCTTTCTGGAATCTTCTCTATTTGAATTTGATTAAAAAAAAAAAATAGAATACATGTAGGGTAACTGTCAGCCCTTTGAGATAGGCTAGATTAGGAAAGAGATTCCACTCCTACTACTAGAACTTATTGTTGTAGGGTATAATAACAGAATTACTGCAAGTATCAGGTACCACACAGTATACAGTATAAAACCAAGACATACATTACTCTCTCCCCTTGTTATAGCAAGGAGAATTAAGGTGGGACAATCTTGAGTTTCTTTCTCACTCATTCCTCCCTTCCAAAGCTAAGCTGGTGTTTATGTATTGACTGCTGATGCCTTCTTCAAGGCCATTTCTGTACTCTTACACATATATTATTTTAATGTCAACATTTGAAATTGATACATGATTAACAATAAAACCCCAAAGCTTTAAAATAAGAATTGAAATACAACAATCACTTATAAGATTAACAATTCATAACCACTCAGATTCACTGAAAGTTGGGCAAAATACAAGTTTAATACATTATTATTATTTCTCATTCTTGTTCTCCAACAAAGGCTTCATAATTCATGAAGGATTTGGGCTTCATATACTAAGAAGAAACTCAAGAATAAAGCCAATGGCCTTCCAGCCTGAGAGATTTTATAATCCACAAGGGAATGTTTCCAACTTCCTCATTATATATCCAGAATGGCAAAGAATACAATGAACAGTTCAAGATACAGAGGTTAAATAGGTGTGTGTATGTTTGTGTGTGTGTATGTTCCATAATTCTCTTGCATGTCTGCTAATAACTATATAAAGGAATACATACTATAGGGGGAAAAAAACCAATAGGAAATCACATTCATCACGTTATTGTGATAAAATGTATTGCCCAAGTGAGCTAGGCTATCTTGCTGGAAAAAATCTTAATGAAGACTGCAGTAATGGGCTGGGTGAGGGCCAATAAACTGACTCACAATCCAAAGAAGATAAAGATACTTTAGGGGAAAAGTTCAACTGTCCAAGGGAATAGTGTTGGAAAGACAGAGCTTTGCTCTCTGCAATGCAACAAACTTATACCTTGAAATTCTCAGTGATTTACCTTTGCTGCTGGAAAATTTTTCTTTGACACAGAAAGCTTTACTGGTTTAAATTGGAACTCCAGTTCCACACTGCCTATACTCTGACAGTTTGGTCTGTACAACCATCATCATGTACATTCCAGGTTTCACTAATATGCTTTAACTAAAATTTCTGGCCTTGACTATGAAGTCAGCAAAGAAATTGAGTAGATGATTTCACAGAATTTCCGCAGGGGATGAATACATTTTCCAACAGTTTCAAATGATTTCCCCTTAGCTATAACAGTAGCTACTCCTTCTGAAAAAGAATTTCTGGATGACAGCATTTACTGAAGCTACAAAAACCAGGGAGACTGCATATCAGTAGAGAGATGATTATACAATTAGCAAGACATTTGCATACACACTTTGACCCCTACCAGAAGCTGTCAGAAATCATATGAGCCTGAAGCTAGCTCATCCTTTTGATTATAGACAAAGGTTAATGTTAAACGTTAGTCCTACCATTATAAATGAAACATACATACCTGCATTTAATAATGGTAAATTATCTTTACTAATTATGTTTTCTGGAGATGAACATGAATAAACCAAGGCACACTGCAAGATAAAGTTAGTGAATGTAAACATAAATTCATAACATCGAGTAAAAACAAGTGTTACAAAGCAGTCAAACTGAATTTGGTATAATGCACTACCCTAGTTTAATATCATAGTGCATGCTGTTTCTTTTCCCTAATATCTTTAAAATGTCAAATTGTGAATTTGAGTGGGAGAAAATATTTAATTTCTTACAAAGTGACGAATTCAGGAACTAAAGGTTGCTTTAGAAAAATTATTATCTTTATTCAAAAGACACTTAAGAATTGTTGCTGTTCCTTTTGGCTAACAGTATACATAATTGTTCATGTTTTTGAGCAATAGTTGGAAACTTCACAGCACCCACAGAAGACCAATTCCTCCATCCCATTAAGAGGCTCACTAGAACATGGGGGGGGGCAGCACACATTGTCAGACACATTCTTTTCATCTTGTTTCACACTGTCCACAGTTATCTGTCTCTTTCTCTCTCTCTCTCCCCCAGCAAACTGCTTCACAGACCATATTCAGCCTGGTTTTTGTTCACCAAAGAAAGTGTGCTTTGAAACTCTTTGACTAAATAAGTGATCTAATTTATATGGCTGTAGATCAATGTGCTAGGTTGATGCACTGACTTCTCTAATTAAACTGCCTCAAAGTAAATTGGCTTAAAGTAGCATAAAGAAATATACAGTGGTACCTCGGGTCATGAACGCCTCTGTTCACGACCAATTTGGGTCACGAACAGCTCTGTTTGCAAAATTTTGCCTCCGTTCGCGAACGCCAGATCGGGTGACGAACAGGATCCGCGCCCATTTTCCCTCCCGTGACACGTGGTCGTGGCTTCCTGTAGGGAGGGGGACTCTCCAAGCAATAACCACCTCCCCACCCACCTTCCTGTCCTCCACGCCAGAAGTCGCCTCGAGCAAGGTTAGCGTTCTCTCTCTTTGTACTG